AAGCAGACAAGCTTTTGTTAGACAAAGCCCCTGTGACCTTGACCTTTGACCTCAAAATATATATGGGTCATCAAGTAATTATGGATAACCTCCTTGCCAAATATGGAGACTGTTGGTCACAGGATTCTTAAGTTACTGGGATTTTCTTAGTGATGCCCCCTCTGACCTTTATCATGGTGACCTCAAAATCAATAGGGGTTATCTAATAATCATGGCCAGTTTAAATACCAATTTAAAAACTGTGGGTCAAAGGAATCTTATGTTATTGGGCTGACAAGCTTTATTTAGTCAAGGCCCTGTGACCTTGACCTTTGACCCAGTGACCTCAAAAAAATCAATAGGGGTTATCTAATAATCACGACTAACCTCCATACCAAATATAAAGACAGTGGATCAAAGGATTCTAAAGTTATTTGGCAGACAAGCTTTTTTAATTCAAGGCCCCTGTGACCTCAAAATCAATACAGGTCATCTACTTATCATGACCAATCTATAGACCAAATTTGATGACTGTGGGTCAAAGGGATCTAAAGTTATTGGGCGGACAAGGAAAAACCGACGGCCTCCCCGTCTGGATAGACAAGCTGATTCCAGTATATCCCACTTACAACTTTGGTGTGCGGGGTATAATGATGCAAAGGTATTTTTATTATTGTTCGTAGGTGATGTGCACTGTTATCATATACCTAAACAGTTTACAAGTATAGGTTGTAAGTTCATATATTAGAATTATATATAAATTAAGTGCAAGTGAACAATAACCGGCTTACAGTTCTGCACATCATCACATTATGACGAACGTTTCTGCCAAGTAGTTTCAATTTCCTTTCACCGGTTAAAACAAGAGCTGTCGGTAGGACAGCAACGCTCGACTATTCTTAGTGCTTGAAAGTAAAAAAAAGCCTTGATTAAAAGGTAAAATTTTCTAAGTAAAGAAAAAGGCAAAATTTTTCTTTAAATCCATATTACAGTTATAGGCCTTGGAGAGAGTCCTATTATGCTCTCAAAGAAGAGTATAAAATTTCAACATGTTTCGAAGCCTTTATAATGTCAATGAACTTTGAAAATATTTGAGGTATTACAAAAACTTTTACGTAAATTCTAAGTCGAAAAAGGGACATAATTCTGTCAAAATGCTTGATAGAGTTACCTCCTCCTGTCTACAAGTTGGGGTCATGATGGTGAACAAGTGTGCAAAGTTTCAAAGCCATATGTCAATGGACTTTGAAAATATTTGAACAATTACAAAAACTTTAACGTAAATTCTAAGTCGAAAAAGGGGCATAATTCTGTCAAAATGCTTGATAGAGTTACCTCCTCCTCTGCACAGGTTGGGGTCATGATGGTGAACAAGTGTGCAAAGTTTCAAAGCCATATGTCAATGGACTTTGAAAATATTTGAACTATTACAAAAACTTTTACGTAAATTCTAAGTCGAAAAAAGGGGCATAATTCTGTCAAAATGCTTGATAGAGTTACCTCCTCCTGTCTACAGGTTGGGGTCATGATGGTGAACAAGTGTGCAAAGTTTCAAAGCCATATGTCAATGGACTTTGAAAATATTTGAACTATTACAAAAACTTTAACATAAGTGGTTACGCCGACGCCGAAGCAGTCACGCCGACGCTCGGGTGACTACAAGAGCTCTACTTATTCTTATCGAATAGTCGAGCTAAAAATACAGACCGGACACTAAAACTTCTATATAAGTCTATATAAATCAATATTTATCCCCAGGAAGGGGCCAATTTTTATCTTAGCACCTTCAAACATGTTTTCTGCACACCATCTCAATAGATGAGTAAATTATTTCTGTCAAAATGTTTTAACTTCCTTCTATCAGTTCAAAAGATACAGAGCTGAAACAAAATTTTGATATTGATACAAAATGACTTAGTGTGACCTTGACCTCAGAAAGGTCAAACCTGTGCTTTGTACAAAACCTGATTATGGTTTACATTTTTGCAAAGTAGTTTCAATTTCCTTCCACTGGTTTTAAAGATACAGACCAGACAAGAAAGCCTGCTAACAAGCAGAAGGACAAACAACCAGGTGCATAACAATATACGCCGAAATTCTTTCAGGTGTATAAAAAGTTAAATCAATTGAAACAATTACCCGATTTAATGTTTTATTTTTGATTACATATAATACATACAAATGAATGATTTTAGCAAGTAAGACCACAATTAATCAAGAAGCAGGCAAGCTAAATACATAATAATGAAGCATGATAAATATACATAATAAAGAAACATAATAAACGTAGAATACTTATACCCCCGAAGTCAAAGTGGAATATGTACAAACTTATGCATATTTCAAAGTCAAGTGTTATATTTATACATAGAATATATAATAATATAACAACAGTATTATTGAATAGCTTTTACAAACCTGTAACTGATGAAACACTAGGTCTTGGTTGGACAAGCTTTTAGATGTATTTAAGGCCACAGTGACTTTAACCTTTGACCTTATGACCTCAAAAACAATAGGGTCATCTACTCGTAATGAACAACCTCCTCAACAAATTTAAAAGCTTAAGCCCAAAGGGTTTACCTATATTTTGTAATATAAGCTTTTAAACACCAAAGCTACAGTGACCTTTTATGGTCATGACTTACGTACACACCAAATCTTAGGACTCACAGAAACCTTAAGCATGCTCTGGTAATTTGTCAGACAAGCTTTTAAAGACCAAGGCCTTGACATTTGACCTATAATCAATTGTAGACACTCACTATAAGATGTTTCATGCTAAATATCTAAACTCTAGCTATTTGTTTTTTTTTCAAAAAAGACTTTTTAAGTTTTTGCTATACACATATAAGGAGAATCAATGACCCCTGGGGCGGGCAAATTTTGACCCCAGGGCTCTTATTTGAACAAACTTGGTAGACATCTATTAGAAGATGTTTTATGCTAAATATCTTAGCTCTAGCTCTTTAGGTTCTTTAAAAGAAGATTTTTAAGTTTTTACTATATGCATATAGGGAAAATCAATGACCCCCTGGGGCGGGCAAATTTTGACCCCAGTTCTTTTATTTGAACAAACTTGGTAGACATCCATTAGAACCTGTTTCATGCTAAATATTGTAGCTCTAGCTATTTGGGTTCTTTAAAAGAAGATTTTTAAGTTTTTACTATATTCATATAGGGAAAATCAATGACCCCCTGGGGCAGGGCCAATTTTGACCCCAGGGCTCTTATTTGAACAAACTTGGTAGACATCCATTAGAACATGTTTCATACTAAATATCTTATCTCTAGCTCTTTGGGTTCTTTAAAAGAAGATTTTTAAGTTTTTACTAAATGCATATAGGAAAATTCAATGACCACCTGGGGCGGGCCAATTTTGACCCCAGTGCTTTTATTTGAACAAACTTTGTAGACACTATCTAGAAGATGTTTCATGCCAAATATCTAAGCTCTAGCTCTTTGGGTTTTTTAGAAGAAGATATTTAAAGTTTTTTCCTTTGGTTGCCATGGCAATCAGAGTTCTGCATGGAATTAAATTCTTTGAACAATTTTCAAAGGTGACCACCAGAGGAACATTCCTGTAAAGTTTGGATGAAATTGGCTTAGTGGTTTATGAGGAGATGTCATTTAATGTAAATGTTTACGGACGACGGACGGACGACGGACGCCGGACTAATAGTGATCACAAAAGCTCACCCTGTCACAAAGTGACAGGTGAGCTAAAACTTATTGTATACTTATGGTTTGGCTTTGTATGGCTAAGTCAAGAAATTAGGGATATCAATCTATTTATTTGTCAATTTAAACAAAATATTATTGATTGTAAAACACAAAATTGGATGGAAGAAATTCAGAATTCACCCCGATGTGACACATATTTTTTTCATGAGAAGTTTTTATCTATTGATATGCCATTTTATATAAAAAGATCATTATCGAGATTTAGATGTTCTAGTCATAAATTATATATAGAAACTGGACGACGTTTGGGTATACCAAGATATGAGCGAATTTGCCAACACTGTTTGCAAAATTATAACAATTCTTTTATCAAAGACAAATTTCCAGTATTTTTTATTTGTAACAGATTTTCCCAACAAAGACAATTATAAGGTTAAATATATATCCATGGTACAGTCATGATTATACATGTGCATTCCACAATGTTTGTAATTTGATAAAAACTCAAAATGAAGATAAAATAAGGTTGTCAGTTACAAAATAAAATGTAACTTGTTGTTGTTGTTGTATTTTATCGAAAAATATCATTTTATTATTCTTATTACTAGACTTGCGTTACAAGTAAGCAGACAAAAATTCAGTACATGTACTAATAGATGATCAATTGATACTTTTTACTCCTCCAATATTGAAGAGCAAATGATCAATATTGTTTTCAAAAGTCAAAATCACGATTGTGTATTTGTTCTTCATGCCGTTTTATCAAAACATTATTAATAATGTACTGGCATTTTTATTTTCGTTCGCAGGTGATTGTGCACTGTTTTCATATACCTAAACAGTTTACAAGTATATAACCGACTTTATAGTTCTGCACATCATCTCATTATGGTTATTAAACATTTCTGCCAAGTAGTTTCAATTTCCTGCCACAGAAGATACAGACCTGACGCGAAATATAAGTCTGTATCCCAGGTCGGGGCAGGTTCGAACTTGTTTGCTGCACACAGTCTCAATGTATGTAATATTTCTGCCAAAATGTTTCTGTTCAAAATGTTCAAAAGATACAGAGCGGATACAAAATTTTGATATTGATACAAAATGACTAAGTGTGACCTTGACCTGAGAAAGGTCAAACCTGCGCTCTGCACATGGTCTCATTATGGTTAACACTTCTGCCAAGTACAATTATATAGTTTCGATTTCCTTCCACCTGTTCAAAAGATACAGACCAGACAAGAATGCCTGCTAACATACAGACTGACAAACAACCAGGTGCATAACAATATACGCCGAAATTCTTTCTGGTGTACAAAAAGTTAAATCAATTGAAACAATTACCCGATTTAATGTTTTATTTCAGATTACATATAATACATTTTGTACATACAAATGAATGATTTTAGCAAGTAAGACCACAATTAATCAAGAAGCAGGCAAGCTAAATACATAATAATGAAGCGTGATTAATATACATAAAAAACATAATAAACGTAGAACACTTATACCCCGCTTTATGCAGTCAAAGTGGAATATGTACAAACTTATGCATATTTCAAAGTCAAATGTTATATTAATACATAGAATATATAATAATATAACAACAGTAGTATTGAATAGCTTTTACAAACCTGTAACTGATGAAACACTAGGTCTTGGTTGGACAAGCTTTTAGATGTATTTAAGGCCACAGTGACTTTAACCTTTGACCTTATGACCTCAAAAACAATAGGGTCATCTACTCGTAATGAACAACCTCCTCAACAAATTTAAAAGCTTAAGCCCAAAGGGTTTACCTATATTTTGTAATATAAGCTTTTAAACACCAAAGCTACAGTGACCTTTTATGGTCATGACTTACGTACACACCAAATCTTAGGACTCACAGAAGCCTTAAGCATTCTCTGGTAATTTGTCAGACAAGCTTTTAAAGACCAAGGCCTTGACATTTGACCTATAATCAATTGACATCAGACAAACCTTAATTTGACTTATGTTCATGTCTACTACAATGGTTTCTTACATGTAGTTCTGATTGCCATCGTCCAGGTTTGTTTCGTCTTCATTGTGATTCTGATTTCCAAAGAAAGCTATTTTGGCCATGCAATCAAACCGTTTTTTTTTTCAGATAAGCATAAGATGAAGTATAAAAATCTTGCTGTCTGTGAAAGTAAAACAAATTGTTGATTTATATTAGAAAAAATGTTTAAAGTAATTTGAATTAATCTGGTTTGTTTTGCATGTTTACCTACAGGACAACACCAAGTTTATTCTCTAAATGGTGAAAATTACTTGTGTGTGTTTGGTTTGTTTACCCTCGCCACCGGAATGTACCATATGGGCGAGCACATACTTCATTTAAAACTTTATTTATATAATTACCTACTCAGTATCGGTTTTTCAGCGGTTAAAATGAGAAACCGTATCGCTTTCAAAATTGTAAAAGCTCACATATGATTGGCTGTGTGAAAGATCACGAGAATGTGACAACGTATTGGTGGTTTTCAGATCCTAAAAAAAGGCATAGCTTTAATAAGGAAATGTTTTTGATCAGATTAGACGAACCTTCACATCAATTATTCTTAGAACTGTAGGTTTTAGCGTTCTTTACTTAATATTCCGACATGCTTTTAGTCTATAGATGAAAATTTTGAGCAATTTAGATGTAATTAAAGGATATTTGGCTTTAAAGTATCTTATTTTTTTTTTCGTTCTTCTAAAACGGAGGAATCTGATTCTCAAGCTAAACAAGAGCTACTGCCAGGCGGGGACAATGCTTGACTTTTTAACTTTTTCTACAAGCAAACAAAATAACTGTTTAAACAAACTTTTAATAGAAAATTAAGCAAAACAAGACCTACTGCAGGCGGCGCAATGCTAATTTTTTTACTTTTCCTAAAAGCAAACAAACATACGGTTTAACTGTTTTTAGTCTTAATAGCATGCAGCCAAAGTTTTAAATGTTGTAATAATTTTTAGTTCCAAATTTGTTTGCACAAACCATTCTAAGTTCAAGACCCTTAAATGTTAACACAAACCATTTTTATACAAAGTTCAAGAAGTATTACTGTGTCAAAAATCATCGGAACAAACCAAATTCGAATTTGACTTAAATTTTCTGCTTATTGGGAGATAATGAACAGAAACTGAAAATTTCGTATTTTTATAAAGATAAAGTGGCATAACTCTGCTAAAAATTATCAACCTAAGACCAAATTCAAACTTGAACTGCATAATCCTTTGAAGTATCCATATGTCAAATTTAAGTTGAATGAACTGTTGAAAATTTTCTTTTTCTTTTCAAAGTTAAAGGGGCATATCTGTGTCAAAATTTTTTAACCAATACCAAATTTGTACTTAACCTGCATAATCCTCTGATGTATCAGTATATTAAATTTGGGGAGATAATGAAAGGAAACTGAACATTTCTTTAAGGGGGATAAATCATCAAACCATGACCAAACTCGAACTTGACCTGCATTTTCCTATGAAATATACAGATGTTTATCTTGAGTTGAATGTGTACAACTATTCTGGAGATAATGAACAGAAACTGAAAATTTCTTTTTATTTTCAAAGTTAAAGGGACATAACTCTGCCAAGTATTCATTTAACCATGACCAAATTCAACTAAAATTTGACATGGATGTGTACAACTGTTGGGGAGATCATGAATAGAAACTGATCTTTTTTATCTTTATCAAAGTAAAAGGGGCATTGCTCAGCCAAAATCATCGGACAATGACAAAATACGCACTTTACCTGGGTATCCTTTGACTTATTCATATGTCAAATTTGAGCTGAATGTGTACTTCTGTTGGGGAGATAATGAAAGGCAACTGAAAATTTCTTCAAGGGGCAAACCATAACCAAATTTGACCTTGACATGCATTTTCCTATAGTATATCCAAATTTATATATGAGCCGCGTCACGACAAAACCAACATAATGGGTTTGCGACCAGCATGGATCCAGACCAGGCAGCTCATCCGCGCAGTCTGATCAGGATCCATGCTGTTCCCTATCAGTTTCTCTACTTGTTATAGGGTTTGTAAGCAACCAGCATGGATCCTGATCAGACTGCGCAAATCTGCAGGCTGGTCTGAATCAATGCTGGTCGCAAACCCATTATGTTGGTTTAGTCATGACGCGGCTCATATATGACTTATTTTAGATGAATGTTTGCCACTGTTGCCAAGATAATGAACAGAAACTGATGATGACGGAAGAGGGAAACACTATATGCCCCAGCCATTTTATGGCGGGTGCATAAAAAGATAGAAATAATTTTAAATTTGACTGAAGTTCAGTTGAATTCTATATTTTAAGAATTCAAAAAATTCAGGAATTTAAAAGCTTATGAAAATTTATAAAAAATAAATGAAATAACTAAAACTTTTAGACCAGATATAAGACAATAGCAACAACATTAAACATGATAAAAAATGCTGCTTATTTTCTATATTTAAATCAAGTAAGCCGAGTTGTAACATGTTAACATAGCTACATGCACAATAAAAACATTGTAAACCTTTACATTATAACAAAGCATGAAATTATATGGATAACCTGATATTATATATTCAACAAATATCAACATTTATAAACATAAGTAATTAAAGATGCTGTAACACAATTTTTTTAATGGTTTTATATCATAAAAATGATGCCCAAATTAAGATTTATAAATATTGTAAGTTCCAAAAAGCATTATTTATCAGGATTTTACCAATTTAACATTTCATTTAAATAAAGGGAGGCAATTAGAAATTTATTTTCTATATAGTCTAAGTCAAATTTTTCAATAAGAAATGAATGCATACATGTATATTTAAATGATAACATTTAATGTGTACAAATATTTGCAGTACATATTTAACAATTATTCTTCGATGTTTGAAAATTGTTTTAGAAGCATAATTATATACATATACATGCAAAAATTTCACTTAAGTGTGGTATACAACCTAAATTACAACATACAGGATCTTTAACAGCAAAAGAGCTGTTATTATTCTTACACACTTTCTAACAAACCAAGAAACAAAAAATAAATCATTACTATTATTATTATTACTGTTGAGTTAAAGTGAAGCTTGTAATTAGAAAATGAAAATACTGTACAAACAAGATATGTTTGTAAAACATGTATGCCCCCTATCAGCAGCCAATTAGTCATGTGATAAGGTTATTATGCATGACTTCTGACCCAGTGATCAAACAATTAATAAGGGTTATAAAGTATCTACTGGTCATGACCTTGACCTTTGACCTCTTGACCCAAAACTCAATAGGGGTCATCTGCTGGTCACGACCAATCATCATACAAAGTTTGAAGTTCCTAGGCCTAGGCATTTTTAGTAAATTGATCAGAAACCGTTTTTACCTACAAGGTCAATGTGACCTTGACCTTTGACCCCTTGACCCCAAAATCAATAGGGGTCATCTGCTGGTCATGACCAATCACCATGCCTAGGTTGAAGTTCCTAGGCCTAAGGGTTCTCTTATTATTGATCGGAAACCATTTTAACATACAAGGTCAATGTGACCTTGACCTTTGACCCCAAAATCAATAGGGGTCATCTACTGGTCATGACCAATCACCATGCCAAGTTTGAAGTTCCTAGGCCGAAGCGTTCTTTAGTTATTGATCAGAAACCGTTTTTACTTACAAGGTCATTGTTACCTTGACCTTTGACCCCTTAATCCCAAAATCAATAGGAGTAATCTGCTGGTCATGACAAATCACCATACCAAGTTTGAAGTTCCTAAGCCTAAGTGTTCTTGAGTTATTGATCAGAAACCGTTTTTACTTAAAAGGTCAATGTGACCTTGACCTTTGACCCCTTCACCTAAAACTCAATAGGGGTCATCTGCTGGTCATGACCAATCATCACACAAAGGTTGAAGTTCCTAGGCCTAAATGTTTTTAGTTTATTGATCGGAAACCGTTTTTACCTACAAGGTCAATGTGACCTTGACCTTTGACCCCTTGACCCCAAAATCAATAGGTCATCTGCTGGTCATGACCAATCCCCATACCAAGTTTGAAGTTCCTAGGCCTAAGGGTTCTTTAGTTATTGATCGGAAACCGTTTTTACCTAAGAGGTCAATGTGACCTTGACCTTTGACCCCTTGACCCCAAAATCAATAGGGGTCATCTACTGATCATGACCAATCACCATCTCAAGTTTGAAGTCCCTAGGCCTAAGGGTTCTTTCATTATTGATCGGAAACCGTTTTTACCTACAAGGTCAATGTGACCTTGACCTTTGACCCCTTAACCCCAAAATCAATAGGGGTCATCTGATTGGTCATAACCAATCACCATACCAAGTTTGAAGTTCCTAGGCCTTAAGGTTCTTTAGTTATTGATTGGAAACCGTTTTTACCTACAAGGTCAATGTGACCTTGACCTTTGACCCCTTGACCCCAAAATCAATAGGGGTCATCTACTGATCATGACCAATCACCATACCAAGTTTGAAGTTCCTAGGCCTTAAGGTTCTTTAGTTATTGATCGGAAACCGTTTTTGCTTACAAGGTCAATGTGACCTTGACCTTTGACCCCTTGACCCCACAAATCAATAGGGGTCATCTACTGATCATGACCAATCACCATACCAAGTTTGAAGTTCCTAGGCCTTAAGGTTCTTTAGTTATTGATCGGAAACCGTTTTTGCTTACAAGGTCAATGTGACCTTGACCTTTGACCCCTTGACCCCAAAATCAATAGGGGTCATCTACTGGTCATGACCAATCACCATACCAAGTTTGAAGTTCCTAGGCCTTAAGGTTCTTTAGTTATTGATCGGAAACCGTTTTTGCTTTCAAGGTCAATGTGACCTTGACCTTTGACCCCTTGACCCCAAAATCAATAGGGGTCATCTACTGGTCATGACCAATCACCATACCAAGTTTGAAGTTCCTAGGCCTAAGGGTTCTTTAGTTATCACTCGGAAACCATTTGGTCTACGGACCGACGGACCGACAGACCGACGGACCGACGGACCGACAAGTGCAAAGCAATATACCCCCTTTTCTTCGAAATGGGGGCATAATTATCAGTCTATCAATTATAACTGTACAATAAAAGAAAAACATGTATGTATATATTAGTTAAATAATAAAACCTGGTATCCTACATAATTGAATAATTATCTTTTATATTTGAAAAAATAGTCTTAGTTTGCAAAATAGAGAAAAACGAAATCCTTATAGAATTCCCAAAACAACAATATTGAAAATGTTGCAGTTTTGATTGAGGCCTTGGAGGGTATGCATTGTCAATTACCATCCAGGACCCAAAGCACTGGCTTAAGCAAAATTCTACAAAAGTCAATCAAAAATTAAAATGGTGATATTTTGAATTTAGAAAAATCAGCAGATGTTTTCATATGGGCGGTCATCATGGAACCTGCAATGTTTTTACCTCTGTAGTTTTGAACTACATTGTATTACTTTGTAACTATTACTCTGTAGTTTGTAAATATTACTCTATAGTTATAACTAAAACTACCTTTTTATAACTTTTTCTATGTAATTTTATAACTGTCAGTTGGTAAATGTTACCCTGTAGTTTATCACCATTACCTTTAAGCTTGTTATAAAACTCTTTCTAACTTATAATAACCGTGCAGTTTATAACTTACTACTTTGTAGTTTGTACTATATATTTCTGTAGGTTGTAAAATTTTACTCTGTAGTTTATTACTATTATTACTAAGCTCTGTAGTTTGTAACTATTTGTCTCTAGTTTTTTCTATTATATTTCTCTGTAGGTTGTAAATTTTACTTTGTAGTTAATTACATGTATGTATCAATATGCAGCTTGATACTATTACTCTGTAGTTTATAACTATGAATTTGTACTTTGTAACAGGCTCTTCTATTTTAAAGACCTTGTTTATAACTATGAATTTGTAGTTTATAACAGGCTCTTCTATTTATAAGACCTTGCTTATAACTATGACTTTGTAGTTTATAGCTATAAATTTCTTTTTTACATTATTTCTCCCTGTAGTTTCATTTTATACATACATATTGCTTAACAGACCTATCTCAAATAATTATTTCTTATGAAGAACTCTAGGTTTGAACAAAGCATAAACACCTTTTTTTTCTAATTAACATAACATTTTGTGTAATGTGTAGCAAATTATTTAAAATGCTGTCCTAGGTCCATATTCAATATACATCTTAAGATAATCTTATCACTTAATTGATATAATGATATTGACTTATGACTTACAACCTTTGTTTTTCTCAAACATGTTAATTTAAATGTTAAGCAGTAATAGTATTCAATCAGCAACATCAAATAAAGAGCCATATAATAATACAGCAAAAAAATATTTAACAAAGTAAAATATTTGATGAAATTTGTCAATTAACTTTTTTTCTAATTCAAATAACAACATATACAATAATTTATAAATTTACCAATCTGTCAGAAGAATGACTGCCTTGATGTTATTTAATCTAAGGAAAGTTTTTAGTAATAACAAGAGCGCCATGATGGCCCTGAAGTCGCTCACCTGTACATAGGCCCCCGGATCGGGGCCAGTTTAAACCCCAGGGCTTTTATTTGAACAATCTTGGTAGACACCCATTAGAAGATGTTTCATGCTAAATATCCAAGCTCTAGGTCTTTGAGATTTTTAAAAGAAGATTTTAAATTTTTACTACACACATATAATGAAAAACAATGACACCCAATTTTGACCCCAGGGCTTTTATTTGAACAAACTTTGTAGACACTCACTAGAAGATGTTTTATGCTTAAAATCTAAACTCTAGCTATTTGGGTTTATTCAAAGAAGATTTTAAGTTTTTGCTATACACAAATATGGAATATAAATGTCCCCGGGGAAGGGCAAATTTTGACCCCCAGGGTTTTTATTTGAACAAACTTTGTAGACACTCACTAGAAGATGTTTCATGCTTAATATCTAAACTTTAGCTATTTGGGATTTTTCAAAGAAGATTTTTTAAGTTTTTGCTATACACATATAGGGAAAATCAATGACCCCCGGGGTGGGGCCAAGTTTGATCCCAGGGCTTTTATTTAAACAACCTTGGTAGACACTCACTAGAAAATGTTTCATGCCAAATATCTAAGCTCTAGCTCTTTGGGTTTTTAAAAGAAGATATTTAAAGTGTTTTTTTTTCGGTTGCCATGGCAACCAGAGTTCTGCATGGAATTAAATTCTTTGAACAATTTTTGAAGGTGACCACCAAAGTAACATTCCTGTGAAGTTTGGATGAAATTGGCTGAGTGGTTTATGAGGAGATGTAATTAAAAGTAAAATTTAGGGACAGATGGATGGATAACGGACGGACGCCGGACAAAAAGCAATCACAATAGCTCACCCTGTCACTTTGTGACAGGTGAGCTAAAAACTAGAATAAATTTCCAAGATATGGAGGCTTTGCAGCACCGCCTGACTTAAAAATGAAATATTCTCAGTTGGAAAACAAGCATGTAATTGTTTAGTTAACACTGTTTTTTTTGGTATTTTTTTTATATTTTTTTCTATCTCAAATCCATATATACATTAATACAACAAAATCTGATCATTATGTACACCCAAAACAAAGAATTCTGATCATTATTTACACCCAAAACAAACACACATCATTTATCAAACGCATAAATGAAATATCTTTTCATGTATACGTCTTTTATACGAAACAATACAAGACACCTGGCGAGCCCAAGCTCTAAACAACTTATGATCAAACAAAACAATAAAATCATCACAAAATAAAGAACACAATATGAACTATTTTACAACTTGAAGATACTGTACAAACCACATACATTCAATCAACAATATTAACTTCACAAAATCTAATCAGCATCAGAAAACAACTAAAAATTAAACACCCAATACAAATATCTTCGAAAACAAAGCATCAACTATGATATTCTTGACAAGACAAAACCACTCAATACAAGTCAACCGATATCAACAGAACACAACGCAACAACTAAGAAAACTAATTACAACTAATAAACCCTGACCAATTAAAATCACCACAATTAAATTTAACCAACTTAAACAAATCAACAAAACTCCCTTCAAAACTATAAATTCTTTTCTCAAAAGAATATTAACGCTAC